AAGGCTTTATGCTACCTTACACAGTATAGCTGTAATTTATGTTAGAATTAAGGATGTATGCTACCTTACACATTACACATGTGATTAATTTTAGAGTTAAGGGTATATAATACCTTACATATTATACCTGTGACTTAGGTTAGAGTTAAGGGTATATGCTACATTACACATTATACTGTGACTTAGCTTAGAGTTAAGGGTATATGCTACCTTACCTATTATATCTATGACTTAGCTTAGAGTTAAGGATATATGCTACCTTACATATTATACCTGTGACTTAGGTTAGAGTTAAAGGTATATAATACCTTACATATTATACTGTGACTTAGGTTAGAGTTAAGGGTATATACTACCTTACAAATTATACTGTGACTTAGCTTAGAGTTAAGGGTATATCCTACCTTACATAGTATACCTGTGACTTAGGTTAGAGTTAAGGGTGTATGCTACCTTACATGATATATCTGTGACAATTAGGTTAGAGTTAAGGGTATATGCTACCTTACATATTATACCTGTGACTTAGCTTAGAGTTAAGGGTATATCCTACCTTACATAGTATACCTGTGACTTAGGTTAGAGTTAAGGGTGTATGCTACCTTCCATGATATATCTGTGACAATTAGGTTGGAGTTAAGGGTATATGCTACCTTACATATTATACCTGTGACTTTGGTTAGTCAGTTTAGTGTATATGCTACATTTCATATTATACCTGTGACTTAGGTTAGAGTTAAGGGTATATGCTACCTTACATATTATACCTGTGACTTAGGTTAGTCAGTTGAGGGTATATACTACCTTACATATTATACCTGTTACAATTAGGATAGAGTTAAGGGTATATGCTACCTTACATATTATACCTGTGACTTAGGTTAGTCAGTTAAGGGTATATACTACCTTACATATTATACCTGTGACTTAGGTTAGAGTTAAGGGTATATGCTACCTTACATATTATACCTGTGACAATTAGGTTAGAGTTTAGGATATGCTACCTTACATATTAATCATGTGACTTAGGTTAGAGTTAAGGGTATATACTACCTTACATATTATACCTGTTTATGTTGTTGTTCGTTTTTTATATATCCTACCTTGCACAATATACCTGTGATTTAAGTTCTGATAGTCATTAAAAATGATAGATTTCCATGTTTTCATATCAACGTGTGACTTTTGTAGAAAGGATGACACAGGCCAAAGTACCATAGCATAAAACTTAGTCTCTATGTCATAGTAAGGTAGCATTCATCCTTGAGTCTCCATGTCACATTAAGGTAGCATACATCCTCAAGTCTCCATGTCACAGTGAGGTAGAATACATCCTTAAGTCTTCATGTCACAGTAAGGTAGCATACATCCTCAAGTCTCCATGTCACAGTAAGGTAGCATACATCCTTAAGTCTCCATGTCACAGTAAGGTAGCATACATCCTTAAGTCTCCATGTCACCGTAAGGTAGAATACAACCTTAAGTCTCCATGTCACAGTAAGGTAGCATACAACCTTAAGTCTCTAGCTATGTCAGTGAGTTACTCTGACGTTCTGTTTGTAACAGGAGCTCGTCATCAGTGGGTTTGAATGGCAGTATTATTGGACAGAAAACATTATAACTGTATATAAAGACTGTCAGAGATATAGATGATTCTGTGGCATTCAGATTTATTTACAATTGTATGACCACAGTACACGTGTACTGTTACAGACAATCTCTTTTCAATTTCCTCTTTAAAACATCGTCTGACCTTTAATTTTCTGTGTAGTTGTATACGAAAATTGTCTTTAAGAAACAGCAGCAGTAAGAAAAGTTTTGACATTACAACATAAACCATATTGAAACAGATCGTAATTTCTCTCATGGTCATTTTTTTTTTCTCTGAGTATTGCGGTTTTCCTCTGCCACCAAAACCTGGCTCATTCTTAAATTACCACAGCTGTTAATAGGACTAAAAACACCAAACAAACCAAACCAATGCTTCAGAAGGGCATACCTTTTTTACTAGGGAACAGCTTATAAATCTATCTTGATCTACTAAGACCCAATAAATCAAAAGCATTCTCAATCAAGTATATATAAATCATTAAAAGATAATAACTAATTCAGATATCCTTAAAAACAAAAATTTCATCAATTTTGGGACCTAATAAATTGTTGTATTTTGGGGATTTTTTTTTTTTGTACAATGAAATAAAACCACTTCAAACATTCATAAACTGTTCAAACAAATGTTAAATGTTTAATCTTACCTTAAGTTGTGTTAGAGGTTTCCGTGTCCATCTTTCCTTGTTGTTTTTCTCTTTATTCCGCTCTTCATCACTTCTTGATAAAAACATCTTGTCGGATACACCAACAATTAATTTAATTTTGGTTCAGAAATTCATTCCGGTAACGAGTGCTGCAACATCTGTTGATAGCCTGATTATATAATATTTTTCAAGATATCTTGATCAGTCCTTGTAGAGAGGAAATTTAGTTTGATCATTCCTTATAGGTCTAATAGAGATTTTAGTTAATGTGCAGACTGCATATATGTTTCTTCTCTTTTGTACAGTTAGAGAGCATACTTTTCTCAAGGTCCTTTTGTCTTGTCCAGTTGATGGTCAGCTTGACTCAAAAATCATGTTTTTTCCTTTTTAGACGATTAAATGGTCAGTTTTCGTTCATTTTTTCGTTTGTTGTTTTTTTCATTCAAAGGAGTCATTCATTAGTTACTTGAATTAAATGAAAATTATAATCTGTTGACTCAAGTTTACTTTTAAAGTAATACTTTACTTTGTCATATATAAAATGGCTGTTAACTGAATTCATGGATAAGAACATTTCTCTCTTAATTTATGAATTTAATAAAAACAAGTTTTTTTATCTCCATTTCTATTCGTGAAATTCTTCCAGACAGAGATGTACATTCAGGTCCTTGTTTGGTACAATGCTGCACATACAATGGTTAACAGTTTTCGAATTGACGGAAAATTTCCACTTTTTTTCCATTTTAAAATATTGGTAATCCTGAGCATTTTATACAAACACTTTCAAATTCTAAATGTTGAATCGTACACAGCGACGAAAAGGTGTTGGCATCCAGAAATTTTGACTACTGCAATAACGAGAAATTCTTCCCAATCATCATGTCTGTCATATGTACACCTGTACACCTGTTCAATGTATCAAAACCTCGTCACCCACTCCTTCATCACCTAACTGTAAACCAGACACTTCAGTCACGAGCTCGGAACTCACCAGTGTCAGATAGAAACATCTACGTCATGTAACAGTTCAAAAATCGTTCATTTAAGCAATCCCGATTTGATTCAACAAATCTGTGCATCATGACTACCAAATTTAAAATGAAACATTTTTAACACCTAACGAGAAACGTCACATTATGTTATCAAACAAAATACGAACTTGTGAAAAACACCAGTTCAGGCGTGAAATTGTCATTAGTCCAGGTAAACACCAGACACCTGTATCCACACCCCTCCATATTCACCTGAAACCGTGAGATGCTTAAACTCTGCATTAAGACTACTTGACGGAAATAAAGTAGGGCGCGATTACAGTTGATGAAGCTGTGCAAGTTTGTATGATAACAGACAGGTATGCAGTCAATATGCCATGTGTGGGTGTTAGTAAACCTTTGACAGATTGGCGGATGACTTGCGGATGGGCTTACAAGACAAAGATCTGATAACCTTATCCTACATATTGATTCTTCACCACAACTCCACTCATAAACTACCTCACATCTACAAGATCCCCTGAAACATGCATTTGCATGCATATTAGTTTTGACCTAAATAAATTATAAAAAAATGAATAAAAAAAATGTTTAGTTGCATCGACGCAAATCCTGAAATTGCTGGATCAACCAATTAATGGAGGGCTTTAAACTGATTTTGACACTGATCATATGATGCATATTGATTATTCTTAGCTGTATAAGCCATATAGAGTACATTGATTGAAAATGGATTCTGCAGGTTACCAGGTATCTTTTTCAATGAAGATTTAGCTGTAGGTTGATAACTTGACAGCTTGGGTAATCTGATGTTTTTTTGCTAAAATTTCAGCAGTTTAATGTTGACTCCTATAGTTATTACAAAAGTATTACAAATATCACTGTAAAAATTAGTTTTTTTCGAGGTCACTTATTTTTGTGGATTTACTAAAATGATCAATTTCAAGAGGTTCATTATTCACCGATATCGGGACTAGTAGCCATGACTAATAGCACTACAGCATCCATGGATTCTTATGCTATATAACTCTGTCAGATGTGTTTTTTTGCCGAACAATTGTTACAGCGCAAAATCCCGAAAAATAAGAACCCCCAAATACCAGCAACATTCACAGTGCTAGTTTGTCCATGACGCTGTAATTTTGTTACAGTTGGATGTAGGAGGTAATGACTTTGATACAGATGCAGAATAACACTGTGTTAGATTTTCCTTTGGAGTTATTTCAAGGTGTTGGTTCCATAAGTGATTAATGTTGCACTTCTGATTTATTTGAAATGTGTATTAATATTTTCTGTGAATTTAATTAATCAGGGGGGGAAAAAGTTTCAATGAAAATTCATAAATACGTTAAAAGATAGGAAATATACATTGAGTATTTCAAATGTTTAAGAACATGCCTTGCTGCAAATGTCAATCAATGTAAATGCGAGTTTTTTCCCTTCACACCACTTTGTGGGAGTTATAGACTGAATTTGTCGGAGGTGAACATCACAATATATCGTCGCAGAATCTCACTTAGACAAATACTGAGGTTATAAGTGCTGTGTGTTTATCTCTGAGTTCCATTACACAGGATTTCATTTACACTCACACAAAATATATCAAACCTGTGGAAAAAGTGTTGCCCCTATAAACATATAAGTATGAAAAAGTTCCAACCATGATCAAACAATTTTCAGGTTTGTTTAGGGAGATTATTGGAAATTTGTTAATTTATTATGTCTATCATTATATAAAAAAATAATGTCCTACCTTTTTGGAGTAGACTTATGTAATGGAGATTCGTCTATCTTAACATGGCCGTTCTGAGGTTTCTTGTCTTTCTTCTGTCGATCTGTAAAAAAAACCAGAAGAATTTAATACAGTATGAAATATAGTATGCTGACAGTGTTTAATGAAATCCGTGTACCATGACTTTTTAAACAAATGTTTATTACAAAATCAAAATTGTCTAGTTTAAAATTATATGTAAATCAACTTAATTTTGGATTATTAGAGGAATCAAAAAGAATTCTTAGTATTCACAGGAAAAAAGGGTATTTGTCTCCCCAAAACAGAAACATGGAATGATTATATTCGTAACAGTGTCCTCCTCTGAGTTCTAGGAATGGAAATTTGGAATGACAATGTTAACATTTGTCTCCTTTCAGTGCTAGAATCTTATGTCAATTGTAAAATTCAAACATTTCATACTTTTTTTATTTATGACATATATGATAATAAGATTGACAATTTTATTGTCCATAATTTAAGTCTTCAGGTGGGGCCAGAACCTAGAGCTTCTCCTAGTAACATGATAGTGTTTGTTTCTTCATGCCCAGCAAGCAAGTACATAGCTTGGTAATTGTATGGTTATTGGGCATGTGTCCATGCTGTGATTCATGACTAAGTCCCAAGGGGTAGGTACAGACCCCAGTGTCAATTCTGATAGCATGGGTGTCACTTTATGTCCAGCATTGGTATATGTGATTATGGGGTGGGGTTGTCAACTGTTTCGACCCAGGGATAAGTCTCCAGGGATAGGGCAGGACCTCTTGGTAAAATCCTGGAAGCATATGTGTATTTGTTTCTTTATACTCAGCAACCATTTCCAATTTAAAACCCCATCTAGCTCTGAGAGGGGGAGTCAGCTCCTCTAATTGTAATTTCCAATTCTTAATCTTCAACACTTGATTAAGATTGTTTCAAATCATCTCAAAGTTCTATAGGAGAAGTCACTCAAATTAATACAACAAAAATTGCCATTTTTAGGCCCCAATCCTCAGGCCCTTTGCATATTTTTGAAACAAGTTTCAAGACAAATATGGTTGATACCCATTGCACAGTTCCAATGAAAAAGTCATTCAAATCCATTTTGCCAAATTAATCCTTTTTGGTCCCGTCCCTGACAGTCCCCCTGAGACTACTTCCAACCAAGTGTGGTTGATATCCATCTTACATTTCCAGAGGAGAAGTCGCTGAAAGCAATTTGGCCAATACTCCCTTTTTTACCCTGCCCCTCAGTTTTCTGGGTAGTTGAAGCCTGCACTTGTACAATTTTGAATACTTAACATCTGAGAATGCTTCCAACCAAATATGGTTGATTCCCATTTCAATGTACAGAGGGCAGGGGGCAGAGGGCAGGGGGCAGGGAGAAGTCAATTCAATTAATATGGCCAAATTATCCCTCTTCTGGCCCACTTCATCTGAACATTTTTGAATACTAAACATCTGGAGAATGCTTCCAACCAAATATGGTTGATTCCCATTTCAATGTACAGGGGGCAGGGGTCAGGGGGCAGGGAGAAGTCAATTCAATTAATATGGCCAAATTATTCTTTTTCTGGCCCACTTTATCTGTACATTTTTGTTTCCCATCACATTAAAAAAATTTCAGGGGGTCTTGAATCCCTTACACCTGAGAACGCTTTCAAACAAAAATGGCTGATATCAATCTCATACTGCTGGTTCCAAAGAAGAAGTTGCTTAACATTTGTAGGGATTTGAAGAGGAAGGCTGGTGGTAAGTGCATGAAATTAGAAGGATTTACAAATAATCTGTTAATTGTTGTCAAAAAAGTGTGAAATATATATTGACAGACCAAGTGGAAGGGGTCCAGAAACCCCTAAATCAACTGCAAATGTGTACAAACATGTCCACAGGTGAAAGTAGTCACAATAGAGTTAGATATGTGTACATAAGGCTTCAGGGGATCATGACAAACCCACAACATGTTTCACCCTAGTATTGACTAGAGGCAAGGGTGTACAATTCCGCTAGCTCAACGCCTAGGGCTAGTAGAATTTACGTCAGGAGTGGTATTTTTTACATTGATGAAGAAACTATAAGTTGGCTGGTAGAATTTTTCAAAATCTGTCTGCATGCTAGTTCTTTAAAATAGGAAAGTGTACACCCCAGGATCACACGACTTACCCAACCATTTAATTTGTCCCTTCAGCAGCATCACTATAGTAATAGTGATAACAATTCATGTCATCATCAACAAAAGTCAATAAATGGACCTCGGGTGTCAGAAATTACGTATCCAACTCAAATACATCACTTAGACAAGTTTACAACATTTTAATATTGTTTTTCTCACAAATCTCCAAACACCCAGATAGTTTTTTACATTTTCACTGGTTCCAAAAAGTTTGAGTTAAAAAAGGTTTTACAGATGTACCAATGGTATTCAAACACCATTATCAAACTTTTTTTAGTTGAAACATTTTAACACTCTTTAAAGCCGAAACATTTCTTTTCAAATATATTTTAATGCAGATATGAATATAGCTACATATTTATAATATTATACATAAAACTGAAGATATGTTGTAATGTATGAAATCAAGTATGACTCACATGGAGCAGTGACCTTGAGAATCTCCTTGACCTTGGCATGCAGAGGGTCATTGTCTGTATGGTCAGTCTCACTGTCCGCTGAAGGTCGAAAAATAAGTTCTTGAAATTTGACCTCGAAATCCTCTGTCCTGACAGAGTCTGCATCACTGATGTAGCCAAACTTTCTACGAAATGGGCCAGCTTGTCGCCGTGGTGATGACCGAGCTCCATGTGTTGGAAATGAGGATGTTGATCTTCCTTTACCTTAGATATGAATATTGTTATTTAATGAGATAAAGGTCAGTTTTCCAACCTTTCAAACAATAAGGCAAATATTATTCTGTTGCTTTTTACTGCTTTAACCCACTCACCCCTACAGTCACATTTGAACATTACCAAATCAAAGACTGGGCAAGTCCATTTTAAATATGTAGGGGTAAATTATAGCAAGAAAAATTCTATTAGACATAAATGTCCCCTTTACATTGTGGTTGACCTAGTGACCTTGGCATTAACCTTGGGTGGGACCCTAAAATACAAATCATCTATATATGGTATTCTCATATTTGACCTTTGTCTATGGTGAGAATTCTTTGATGAAAATCTGCCCAGAAATGAAGTTGATGAAGTTATGACAATGTGACGGGACACCAGTAATATAATATTCCCCCTTAAAATTGCAGGGACATAAATTTTTAGATGAAAAGTATTCTTACTCTCAGGTTAATGGTTCCAGTCTACCAATCTTTACATTAAGGAAAAAGCATGCCAGAACAGTGTAAAACAATGGCATCTTTCAAAGACGCAGCATTCATCTTTTACCAGTTGTTAATTCAAACTACACAAACTGGGTTAAGCTTCATTCACTTGGCTCTAAAAGATTTTATATCAGCTACCGTCAAATACTGCATATTTTTTCTGGTAGGCAAATTCAAGTGATGGTCCCGAGGGCTATGTTTATACATACACTCTACCACAAAGTCAATCAGTAGATATATATAGCACAAGTCAAAGTGTACTGGTATACATATCCAAGGAAACTTCGTCAGTAGGGATTGGCCCAACCACTTGGAATCGCTGGGTAGCCGCCCGCGTCGATTATGTATATTCCACATATTCAAAATATTATATTTTCATTTAATAGATATTCATTTTATAAGTCTGTGCCTGGAATATAACATCTCCACTATTTAATATATAGCTACCTCCTCCTCCTATATATGCCATGTTATTGTAAAGAGTTGTATTATGTATGTGATTTGGGGTACAAGGACATCTGGGGATGGCCGAGTGCAATAATTAGGTCACTGTGACCTATGACTTGACCTTTGACCTTAAGGCCTAAAGTAATAAAACAATTTGAATTTGAAGTGCCTTACCTCTGGGCTGGGTGGGAAGCTTATCCTCTGCCTGTGATATGTGTTCCCCTGGTCGGTGCACACTGGAGGAGGTTTCAATCGTTTGATGCTCGGATGGGTAAGGATGTGTACTTTGAGAAATTCTGGAGGGAGAGTGAGGTCTGTTCTGTGAAGTTCCAGATGGAGACCGGGGTGGATCTGAGACTCCCTCTCCTTCCTCAGCACTTTTACTCGCTGATTATAGATATTTACGGTTATTAGGCTATGTTCAGCATAAGGCTTCATTCATAAATATTTTACCAGTTATAATATCAAATCTAAAGCTTCTGTGATTTCTGTTGTAGATTATCATCAAATTTATAACTATTAACCCTTTCACCCCTATGTAACTATAATAGACTCTACCATACATGAATATGAATGAGTCCATTATGGTCTACTGTGGTGAAAGGGTCAAAGAATTAAGTTAACTTCTTGGGTAGTTGATTCCAAATTAGGCATCCTTTCATATAAAAGGATATATATTATGAACAATGTATTATGTACATTAACATTTGAATTGAACAAGAGAATTTATATGTTGATATTTTGAAGAGTAAACAGCTGGAAAATCAACACTTGTTACAGCATATAAATGATGACTGTTAAAATAAGTGTTACTAACTAATTTTCTATATCTTTAAATAATTCAATAATCAGTTTTTTTTAAATAAATAATTACTTTTTGTCATGTCAGATGAATGAGAAGAAACAGATTTTTTACATATATACCAATCAAACTTATTATTTGATGTATATATTATTAATTATTTTAATATGCAGTGGAAGAGTAGTCATCCAGGATAATATCCAAGATTTCTGGTAAATTTTTTAGATAAAGCTTCTAAAAATATTTAGATATTGATATATTTCAAATACAATTTTTTATCAAAGCAACTTTTAGGCGTATATTCATCTATTTTCTGGAAATAAAATACAAAGTTAAAGTTTCTGGATGATCAACCCAACAACACACTGGTTACAGGGAGATAACTCCACACCATCTCCCGTTTACCCAAATCCATGCACACAGTTAAGGGGAGGTAACTCCAAATGTTAAGACACTTACGGCTGATTATGAAAACCCAAAATTAATGACTTTTAATAAAAACAATGATATGAATGGTGATGAAAGAGTTAGGGGATTGAAGGTTGTGATAAATTTAATTCAGAAATGATATCTAACTTTCTATCGTTTTAAGAAAAATAAAAGTCTATATCGAACTCAGATAAATTCAGTATAGCCAAGATCTCACATACAACCTGTATTTCTTTTTTATGTAGCAATTAATTAATAATTACTTTTATATTTTGCATGTAGTATATTGTACAAAATTTCAGTTCCTGAATACAAATAACTTCTGATTATATTTCATAAACTAACTATAAATGTCACACAGCACACAGAAAAACATGCCAATAAAGCATACAAACACTGCATGCTTGCATTTTGGTGTACAATAAACTTTTAAAATATAAAGAAAGCTTTCAAAAATCAATCTTTTATAAAAGTTTTCAATTTGAAAAATTTCAGCTTGGAATAAAATCACCACAAATTAATCTGTTTGGATGGAGGATTGACAGGAAGAACGATCGATGGGTTAAATTTTTCAAATGTCAATCTTCCAATTCAACTGCCATTAATTTCTTTTTCTAAAACCTACATCTTAATCAAGTGAAGAAAGAAAATCCTCGTAAAGTTATATTTCTTAAAATTAGTGTTTGCACTCACATTCCCCATTTTGTTCAGTAACACTTTGACATGCATAAATAACAATAAATCTATAGTATCAAAGGTATGCTGACACTTCAAATACAAAAAAGAAAAAATATCATTCAACTTAAAATAAAAATTCAAAACTCAAATAAAATTTGACTGTTTGTGCTGTAGAGTAGCCATCACACAAAGGTCAATGGAAGTGGACAACAGATCTAGGGCCCACCTTTGGACTGGTCAGTATCATAGTAATCCCAGGACAGGTCAGCCTTGGTGGGTGTGTCTGCATCACTGTTGGTCAGTTTACCGCTCACGTTATCGCTGTCCTCGTCAGACTTGTTCTCCAGTGTGTCGGAGTCTGACCGAGACATGGTTTAAAATCTCCATCAACATTTAATATTACTCAAAACTCATATTGGCAGTTTAGTGGCTCGTATTTAAATAACTCTTACACCCCTGAAGACACATTTGAACTCTTAGGTTTCAAAGCTTGGAATCGTTCACTATGAAGTGTCAGGGGTGAATGAGTAAAACATCTAATTCAAGTACTTCAATACGGTTTTTTTCCATATACAAAGAATTATGTACTGATTTTGTTTTTATTACTACAATTAAACCTGTCTGAGCTAGAAACCACTGTAACCGATAATTTTTGTCAGAATAAATTTCGAATAACACAGGTGTACTGTAGGACCTATTTATACAGATTTTCAGATTATACAGGTTTTATTTACAAAGTGATGAATAGAGCATGACCTTGGGCAAATGTTCTGGTTTACACAGGTCTCCAGATTTTAAATGGTTTGATATAGGCAGATCATACTATATTTCGTAAATGAACCTGTGTGTTATTTACATTTATGTAGTAGATCATTTTCGCAAATATTTCATTTTGTTTTTTAATTTCCCCTTACTGTTCATGGTACTTATATTAGAAAATTGTGAATTAACATCCCATGAATACCTCAATATGCACCACTTTAAAAGACAAAGGTGTACTGCCGGTAAAGAAATATCTCATGCACAATAGCTTGGAGTTGATCAAATATTTTCCAGGGCTAGGGCTATAGTAAGTGTTTGTAACTTTTTTTTCTACATACTGAATTGAAAATTAACTTTCGGAATATTTAACTCCACCAATCCCAGATCAACATCAGAATATTATTTTGAGTAAATTCTCTACAGAAAAAGATAACTTGCAATTAATTTATCGGTCATCATTGTAATTTTTTTAAACAAACATACTAGGAAACAATAAATGTTTTCATCTTTTTTTGCTTATTGGAGCTAAATATCCAGCTAGTGGTTTTTTTATTTTGGCCTAGAGGATTTCAATATTAACTTATTCAAATTGCTAGTCAATTTCATAATGGTGTTCTTTTTCTGAATTGTGTTTTCAAAGATTAAAACAAATTCTTGCAATACACAAATTTTGAAGACAATACAAGTTAGTTATATTTGATTTTATGACCAAAAATGAAATTAACCATTTCAAGTTAAACATTAGACATTTTCAATACCTGTGATTCAAACTACAGAATGTATTTCTTGTGATACAGGGGGAAATAGCCAAAACTTGTAAGTTATCATACAGTACAATCATCTGTTAAATCAACTTTTTTATCAAAAACTTGGTAATAAGTGTTTATTAAAGCCACACAATTATCTCAGAACTTTGTGCTATTTATTTTCATACTGCTGAGTCAGATATAACATTTTTCAGAACTCCATACCTGACAAATTAATATAAATTAGGATTAGAAACTTAGTTATATTTATTCATTTCAATTATAGTAAATCAGTTTTATTCAAATTAAAAAGATATTATCACAAAATTGAAAGGAAAATCTGCAAATTTCAGTTTTCAAATCGATGCCAAAAAAACACCAGAGAATCTATTGAAGAAAAATAATGTCCAGAATATATAATGATTCAAATCACAGTTACTGATTTTTTATCAGAACCAGGTAAACATAGTTTGGTACAATATATAATGGCAAACAAAGTATAGGAACAACATGTTTTGTTGTTTTGTACAGGCATATAGAACTGTTGTGTAAATACAGATCACATCAGTACAGAAATTCTCTCATGCATTGGTTAATAAATGGAGGAAGTACAATATTTTTCAATACAGTATTTTACATCAGAATGTACCGCAGAAACCATTATCTTCCTGATGATATCATTAGATTGTTTGTGCAGAGATGTACACTTTTTAACTCATTCACCCCTGAAATTTTATAAAGAACTATTCCAACCTTTGTATTGGAAGAGTTCAAATATGTCTTCAGAGGTAAATGAGTTAAATATGCCAACTGATCAATCTCTAACATAAAACTGACCTGATGACAATGTGGAACACATTTTGACAATATTTTTTTTAGAGAATGAATCAAAATCTCTGAGGCAAACAATAAATATTGGTATGTAAAAGTATCAATAAATCAACCTCATATATAAATCAAGCAAGAATAATGGAGGTTTTTGCAGTATTTCTTTACAGATTAATTTGTATTATATAGTTGTACTGTAAACATTCTTATAATAGTGATTTCTTTACAGATTAATTTGTATTATATAGTTGTACTGTAAACATTCTTATAATAGTGATACCATATTTAAGTACAAAATGCTCTTGCTTGCCAGGATAAAAATATTATCACATATCAATAAATTTGAAATTTTCTGTAAAAGAAAATATAAAAAAACCAGCAATATTTTATTTATCATTCAATAAGCCCATGCCTGGTAATAAGCCCAGTCATATAAATTACCAATTAAGTAGATATACCAAGAAATGTGATTTTGTTGTCCTGTAATAAGCCCACCTACTCTACTTGAAGTCAGAGATTTTATTCATAAATAATCAATATTATAACTTACCTTAAAATTAATCACACACTATATCAATTACCTGTATACAAAATTACGAAAATTACTTCTTCTTTGAAAATAACTGAAAATTATATTTACCACGAAAGGACGTTTTCATTAAAATAATGTTACCACTTAAATAAAAATAGAATTACCACGTAATAATTTTACCTAGATTATTTTAATAACCAATTAAATTACACAATATCACATTTGAACCGTACGAAATCAAAGGCAGGGCAAGTCCATTTTAAAAATGTAGGGGTGAATGAGTTAGCTACCCCTAAAATAAGTATGTTTACATTATGGACATGGTCAGGTTAGCAGTGAGGACTAAGCAGAGGTTGTATACAGTAGAGGATTCAATAATTACGTGTTTACAATCGGCATGCAGAGAAAGTACAGTCAAACTTCCATAAATCGAACTTCAAAGATTTCAATATCTCGATGTGTTGAACTTACAGCAAAGTCTGGATATCTTTTTCAGAAGATTCAAATATCTCGATGTGTTAAACTTATTACCAAGTCCAATATCTTTTTCTTAAACTCATTCACCCCTGAAGACGCATTCGAACTCCTCCAATTCAAAGGTTGGAATAGTTCATTATGAAATTTCAGGGGTGAATGAGTTAACACTACTGATATTCTATTTATAAATCAAACATTATAAGTCTTATTTCTCGCTGTTTTGAACTGCAATCAAGGCCTTGAAAACTAAACTCAATAAATCAAAGTAAAACAATAACCTGTGTGAAAACATTGGAACATTAACTCCTCCTGTACATGCAAATTAAAATGCACAAATACATCAAACGTATTGTTCATATTACACTTAGTCCAGTATTTATAGATTTCAAATTAAATTGTTTGCCTTGTGTTCTGTCAATTTAACAGTCACAATCCATCTTATGCAGATTTCAAAGATATTCGAAGTTCCACATTTGTGAATCAGTTTCAGGGTGTTTCTAATTTTTCTCGATGGTTGCTTAAAGTTTGAAACATTGAAAGTTTGACTGTATACAATGGTACAGTAAGTATCAATACAATATACATCATTAATTAACATTAATTAACATTAATTGACATGCAAATTAATAACAGACAATGGATAAAAAATTATAATGTAGTCATATACTTCATACAAAGGAGTCATTTTAATCTAAATTAATACAACTTACATTGTATATGATTAAACCATTTAAACTTAAATTAACAAAACTTATAAGATGGAACCTTTTTAATCCAAATTAACACAATTTATGTGATGGAACCATATTAATACAAGTTTCAATAGTGTGTCAGATGGAAAACTATTTGGAACCATTTTCATCATGGATGATTACATTTATAATGTTAGATATGTTTGAAATTATTGACAGTTGTCTGACACAAGTGTATGACAATGTAAGAATCGCCTGTCAGGTTTGAGATCTCCACATCCCACCCTATGGGGGTGGGGGGGAAGGGATGACCTTTTCTGTCACCTTGTTCACCCCGCATCATGGAAAGTATCAGTATTCTTACCGACATACTATAAAATTAGCAAGTGAATATTCATGTTAATACAGTGTATCAGATATAAATATATTCATATAAAGGCATTCCAATCAAAATTTTGCAACTTCCAACAGACTTTACACAATATGTAAACATCTCAGACTAGCAAGATTTTGTTTGTTTACAGGGTTAACAGACAGGTATGAAACATGGATATGTAAGTATGATACCAAACTTCACTCTAGCTCATCATTCTAGTGTAGCATCCAGGTAACTTAATAATAATAATAATTTGAGGTTCTTATATACCTCCTCCACACAACCTAGTTTGTACGTCGTCACAAAGCGGTTCACAAATTATTATCCGTAGTTATAGGGCCATTGCAACCAGCCAATATCTTTCTCAACTCCTTGGGAAGCATACAGCCGGTGCTGCCATTTCAGCACTCACAGCTAGCATTCAACAATTCTAGCACTGCCCAACCACGTACTCATTTACAGCTGAGTAGACTGGAACAAGAGGAGTAAAGTATCTTGTTCAAAGATACAACACAGTGCTGTGATTTCACTCGAACCAACAACCCTGCGGCCACAAGCCTGGCGTCCTACCACTAGACTACCGTGCCTACTTTACCTCTGACAACTCAAATACTGGTGTTTTTAACTAATATAAGATAATTATCTACCAACCCACATATCCTTTTGTTTTACTTCCAAACGTCAGACAACTAGATACCTACAAAATGTTCATGGACCCAATAAGTAAGATAAGGAAAATCCTACCTTAAACGGTGTTTTTTTCAAAATGTTCCTGGATGGACCCAATGATTTTAAGTTAAGGAGATATGCTACCTTTAACTGCGACATCGACTTTACCAAAGATTTCCACACTGACAAAACCATCAGCATATTTTAATTGATTATCAACTTTCTAATTAACTGTTGACATTTTGAGTTTATCTTCTGATTACACTGAATCGTGAATTAATATATAATGCTGCAGAAAAAATGACAAGGGAGATAACTCTACCAATGACAAATTTGAACACTTTTTAGTTAATAAAGTCAAAATAGTTATCGAATGAGAATTTTCAATAGACAAAAACTAAATCTATGGTTTGAGTGAGGTTTGATTTCATGCTGTAGTTGAGAGATTACAATGTAAATATGCAGGGTTAAATGTGATGAGATACATTTGCAAAACAAGGAGCTTTTCATTAAACTGGATAGAATAGAAAAGTCACAGCTAGAATTAGCTTGATTAAGAAATATTAGAACAATCATTCACTTGCAAAATAATAATCTTCTCCAAAGGATTTTGGCAAACGTTTTGCCGGATTTTTTTCCAAACAATTATGTTGGTTTGTTTTTATTTACCCCAAAAAATAAACAGATGAACTGTTACAACCACATCAACGAAAATTTTACATTGTGCGAGATTGTACAAGGGAGATAACTGCAGGCTTACCTGACTGATAGACAAGTGCATCCTTGAATATATTTTCATAATCCTCAGTTCTTATCGTCTCTGTGTCACTAGCTTTAAGGTTGTCAAGGTAACCACCTAGAATGGAGAATTTCATAAAAAAAATATATAAAAAGTCTATGTATTTTTTAATTATTAATAGCACTTCAAAATATTATCATGATTATAATGCTGCAGGAAAACGGTCACCTTTTCATGGAATTTGCATCAAAAACAGAGTGTGACTTTTGAAACCTCTGCATTTTGGTTTCTCATATATTACAGTTAAAAGTGACGTTGGCCTCTCATAAAGTAAGTGACTTTTAATTTGAAAAAACAAAGTATTAGACTGTATACGAAAAAAATATTTAAATTTTGAAGATTTTTTCCTAAAAAATGCCTTTTTAAAATCCCAACATTTAAATTCCATGCAGTCTTAAAAATACATTTTTAACATTTGGCAGTATACAGAAAACTTTAAAAACAATCTTTGCTAAGAGGAACTTCACAGTGTATTCTATGGTCAAATTACACAATAAATTCCCCAACAAAATAACTTCAACAATTTTGATCAGTATAATTAAACAATAAAACATATGTAGTTGACGTTCAGTATGGTTTCATGATAACACATGTATTAATGTTCAGTATGGTTTCATGATAACACATGTATTGACGTTCAGTATGGTATCATGATAACACATGTATTGACGTTCAGTATGGTTTCATGATAACACATGTATTGACGTTCAGACTAGGTTGATCTTTATACATTCTAGCACGGATATAATAAACCAATACCACTATTCATTAATGGAGACCAACAGCATCGATTTTCACAGGTAATTAATTTCAAAATCTGAATATCTCAAAGGAAAAATCTCACGTCATGTATAAATAATTATATGGCGTATAGCAGATACAAGCTGAATACCCTACATGTACTGTACATGTGGGTTCTAGGAGCAACTTGTAGACTGTGTGATGATAACTCTCAATATCACATGTAAAAGCATCACAATCACCTAATATACTGAAGATCTAGGCCCCTTTCGTGCATCTGGTTCAACCAGTTGAAAAGTTTGAACCTGAAAGAAAACCACAGGCGCATTTCTGAACCGAGGCTGACCTCAGGAATATTCGGCACCTGTAGATTGAGGGGTCCAGACGTGCCTGGCCAAAACTAAAATGCTGACTATTGCTAGTTTGCGTTATTTCTTTATAAAACAAGGTCAATCCACGTGTAGATTTTAAGATAAGTTATATAATTTAGTGGATGCTTGAAAGAAGAACATATTATTCTTTATGTATTGTTATTTATTCTCCGAAACTGTGTATTTTTGAGCTCTGCCTACAGATCGGTCCAAGTGCGTTCGTTTATCGTGGAATATTTCTGCGCCACCTGAACCGTTTCAACCGGGATATGCAAACGCGACCTTATTTTGCCTATATACAAATAGGTGCAATGTACAGCATTTTACAATAGAAAAAAAATCGTTCAGCTTCAACTGTGTTTTTCAAAATATGTCAGCATAATTAGTTGTGCACAGATGTAAAGGATAAGTTTAAGAAACCTGTATCTTTTTCAGTCCGCCTCTATTATATATATATAATCACAGCACAGTATAAGTATTTATAGGAATTTTGCTCAATTTCACACTTCAAAATTGAACAATATTTAAGCAAGTTATCGTGTGGAAATAACAGGTGTGGATGGAAGGAAGCTCCCCATACCATAATACGTCCCAGGAAAGTTTTGATAGGCTTATAGAAATGATAACAAAATAATTGTTTAAGTTGTACAAAGGAAAGACACACCACAAACAGAGAAAGGTGATGAAAACTGCCTTCCATCTTTAAAGATGATAAAAACACACAAAACATACAACGAGAAAGGAAGTGAGTGAGGATATACTCTCCCAGTTTAACCATTTATATGGACCACGACACCGACAATTCACACCGTTTTACTTGATATACATATCATACTCTTAACATAAAGACAAACTTATATCGTGTAGAAGGTCAAACATGATTTCAACAAGAAGATATCCCCTGCTCATAGAGTACAAGTCAATATAAGAACAAGGAGCGTCATCGATATCCCCTGCTCATAGTGTACAAGTCAATATAAGAACAAGGACTGTCATCGATATCCCCTGCTCATAGTGTACAAGTCAATATAAGAACAAGGAGCATCATCGATATCTCCTGCTCATAGCGTACAACTCAATATAAGAACAAGGAGCGTCATCGATATCCCCTGCTCATAGTGTACAAGTCATTATAAGAACAAGGAGCGTCATCGATATCCCCTGCTCATAGCATACAAGTCAATATAAGAACAAGGAGCGTCAGCGATATCCCCTGCTTATAGCGTACAAGTCAATATAAGAACAAGGAGTGTCATCGATATCCCCTGCTCATAATGTACAAGTCAATATAAGAACAAGGAGCATCATCGATATCCCCTGCTCATAGTGTACAAGTTAATATAAGAACAAGGAGCGTCATCGATATCCCCTGCTTATAGCGTACAAGTCAATATAAAAACAACATAAGAACAACTAATTACTGGTCACTAAGTCACCGAGCCATTGAAGCTTGAAATGTAGGTTAAATTCAACATTCGCAACATGCAATCAGTAGAACCGCCCAAGACGCATCAATCATGAAAGTATTGAAGGGGTAGCAGTTTGAGCCGGGGATAATAGTAAACCCTCAATATTAAGGTAGTCTATACCTCCTGTTAAACTCATCACTAAGGTATTCTGTCTAAGCTAAATACAGGTAACATGCAGTAATTTTTTAGGACGTTCATCATCATGAAAGTATTGAAGGCGTAGCAGTTTCAGCCGGGGATAATAGTAAACCCTCAATATTAAGGTAGTCTATACCTCCTGTTAAACTCATCACTAAGGTACTCTGTCTAAGCTAAATACAGGTAACATGCAGTATTTTTTTAGGACGTTGTAGTACAGAGATGCACATCCTGGTTTATCTATATTAGCATATTTTACCCACGCATTCATACAGATTATACATAACACTGAAAATGTAAGAACCTAAAGAGGGCAATACACTTGTGTCTATAAACAATCATGAATCTAAAAGCTGTGTAGAAATAGTATTGATAACATGCTTGAAACGTTCAAAATAACTGCTGGACTGTGATGGCCAACAACTCTCTGTATTTGAGAAGGCCAGGCCTATTTTGCTAGTGGGCGTAAAAAATTCCTGGAGGCCTGAAACTTCAAACAAGTGCTGCTTGTTTGGACCATAAGAATTTTAGATGAATTTCTATTATAATAATGTGGTTGTTGCAAATCTTAATCATGATACAATTTATAAGGTATTTTTTTGCTAGTTTCTAATGTTTGTCAAACTTTTGCAATGATAAGAAATAAAAAATAATAAAAAAATAGAATATGAACTTTTCTTTACATGGTGAAATAATCATGCACTTAAATTGTAACATTAGCTTATGGATAAAAAAAATAAAAAAAGGTTCAAACTCAAACACAGACATTTTATTTTGAAGGAATTCATGAAATGTGCATCACACATTAAGAACCTACTCGATAATAGTTGAAAGAATTTTTTTAACAAAATCATACATGTACTTACATCGGTCCAACTATTAAGACATGAAGGGGCATTAAATACTAAACATTTTTTTCCAAAAGCAAACAAATTTCTCAGGTCCCTTTAAGGTTTGTTATATAAACATATTTTCTTGTATAATTAGTATATGTCTGGCACCTGTGTATATTAAATATAAATTAAGCATGTACACCATGAATATTCAAATGGAAATTAGAATACACATATGAAGTGAGAAATTGATGCCAAAAATAAAAATAAGAAAATATTTTTTTAATACATATGTACTGGAATCACAGTAACAAATTTTTACACTAAAGTACATCAGTGTATTCTATAGACTTGTGATCTGGATTAAAGTGGTCAGACCTGATACCCAACTCCACAAAGTGACCAGTGGAACTGTTATAATCCCCTGGTATAAACACATACAATCACCATTATCCTCAGCTTAATCCTTAAAGAGTCAGCAATGACCATGATTTAATACTTCTCATGTCAAAAGTCAGAAGCCCCAAAACCGCCACCGGTCACTCTCATAGCCCTTGACCACTCAGAGGTACATGTAAAGTGGTCAGTAAGCTGTACACCTCTACCCATGGTAGTAACACGATTTATACTGACCTTTCATACGGCTTGCTGTCATAATATAAAGATGGAGTTAAATCCTGTCAGGACAGTGTTTGATTTGTCACAGAATCTAGAGGGGTCAATTTTTAACTAACTACAAAGGCTTAAAGAAGAGGGACTGATAATCCAAGTTATACAGTATACTTGAAACTGTTCACCCTACACCAATTAATTTTAAGACTGTCTACCAGCCCCGAAGTTTTTATGAAGAATTTCGTGGCTATATTTTACTACTAGCATATCTCCCCCTAGTTCGAGAATTTATGATCAGACATCCAAATGATCAAAATTATTAGATTTTTATTTTTTTTCTAAATACTCCCAGTAATTCAATTTTCTAGAGATGAGGGGCAAGTCTAACCGATTCAGTCACTCCAATTTTACAAGATACACTCTACCATCTAACAAGACACAGAAGCAATGGTATCATTTCAGGACCAATAAGTTATTAAAACATTTTTTTTTTAAATTATGTTAATATTATCGTTTTAAGTACCTAATTAGCTCTTTTACATGACTGGATAATGAAAATTTGTTCCTTATCTACAAATGCTATTTTTATTGTCCTATAATAAGCCAAACGCCCTTATATGGAGTCAGACACAAGGGGCTTTTTTAAAGTATGAATATCTTAGATATATGAGGATGTCATTCTTTATTTTTTTACCTCTAAAGGACCTTATTGCAATTCAATACCTCATCATTTTAGCATTCAAATTTATGAATGTACACGTATACCATCACTCACCTTTCTTTTTACGCAAGATGGCCTTGAACTTTGCATCCACCTGTTGAGCAGTTACGGAGTCAAGGTCACTCGGTGCTCCCGTCTTTTTGCCATCATCTGTCAAATTTTTGCAAGCGGCCATGTTAATTATTGTATCAAATCAGAAACCAGTACAGATATGAATAAATCATCTTATCTCACGGCCGAAATCAAATTTCTCCTTTTATGGAATTCTTCATAAAGATACAAAAGCATGTTCACTTGTGATCCTCCGTGACTTTTATTTATGAAAGATGTCAGAAAGTTTGAAAAATCGTCATTTCATCGCATCATCAAAATTGGCACTGTTGAATAACTGCACAATACAGAACAAAATTTTACTAAATGTTTCAGTATGCAAACATTTCATTGTTTAACCTTAAAACAAGTATTAGTGCTCAATTTTATCAATGAAACCTAATAGACGATCCAGTCTTTGTAATCCCATGAAAAATGTGTGTGAGTCAAGTTTATGCACAGGTTGATAGAGAAATCAAACTTTTACAGGTTACACGTAGTAATGTTTTGTCCAATTTCTCTCCGAATGAATGGTTTTGTTGACGAATCACAGAGGTACAAACACTGTTCACTAGATGGTAGAAATCTAGTTTCATATAAATACAGATTAATTGTGTCCCTTGTCAAATCCCACAAACACATCAATGGCTTTGCAAATATAATATACACAGACACATTTCTCCAATCTGTACATACATCAATACATCTATGCATTAGTTCCTACAGTATATCTATACTTCAAGTGAACTATATTCAGTGTGTATGCTTGTCCACAGTGAATATGTCAAATCCACTATGCATGCAGATTTTTGATGTAGATTTATATATGGCCTGGAGAGTATAACGGTATGTGGTTTACTTTAGTCTGTGAAATATCTATTTGTAAAGGGACAAACAGGCGGTACACCACAACAGCTATAAAAGTGAGTCTCTGTACGGATTATATAAGTAGGGATTAAAGACTTAAATCTCTCCCACCCCAATACACAGATCCGATACTCGATCGTCAGCCTTTAAATTTCTTACTCTGCAGAATGTCAACAGAGGTGTTTGGTATCAGTAGAGATACATCATAGAGTCCCTGTCGGGTTTTATACGATGTTTAACTGCTAACAGATTCCGTCAAATTTCTTACTTCTTAGTCAATGCATAGAGGTGTTAAAACATTGTAAAAATCTTCAAATCTCTTTCAGTTTTTACAAAAATAAACATGCATCTTTAATTCGGTTCAAAAGCCTCAAATTGCCAAAAAAAAAATATCTGACCGCTCTCCAATTTTTCGTTTTGTGGATTAACTTTTTAATCACGGTAATTAATTATCTCCCTTGAAATTGAAAATCTTCAAAGGTAAAAATGTATGATAATACAGGACCTACACCTGAAAGTTATCCTACAATCTCTAGGACCAGAATACAAGGAGATTGGCCAAATATGTGAGATATTTCAAGGTAAATACTGGACATGTGAAGTATATATTTGTACAGGTAAATTAGTCGGCAAGTCACTGAAGGTGCCAGATATCACATTGTGTGGAATAAGATAAGAACTGTGATTCTGGATATTGGTCAAGTTTACACATAAACAATGTTTGAACCCTGGTATGATTGTGTACACTGTGACTCATATTAGAGTTTTCTTGAATCTTTCCATGAACAGTGAAACCTTCGATATTATGTCCTTCGTATAAACCAACACCTCACTTTATGCCAACATATCTCAAGGTCCCTTTTCCTTTTTTTGTTAAGAATTCCTTTTTATGTTTGCTCCCCATTTTATTGCCAAACCTCTTTATAATGCCTAAATTTCTCTGGACAAATGGTAACAGTATAATGAGTTTTTACTGTACTGTAACATTGTTTTGAAGTTGGGAGGTCAAAGTTTTAGGGTTTCTGCTACATCTTTACTAGTCGACAGTCGTATATAAGTCTCTTAGAAAGAGGCCAATAAATTTCAGAGGTCTTCTTAGATTTCTTGCGGGGTTTTTGGTCTATAAATATAACAAGTAGTAAATTTAAACACCTATGAAATCCAAGTGCTAAAATGTGTCTCAAAACAGCAAGAAAAAACAAGTTCCTTATTTTAGGGAACCGATAATAAAAATGAGAAGTACAACAACAAGAACTATACCATAGCTTGACTTAATCTGCTGATGTGAAAGGAGGTCTCAAATCCAATCGGAACAGTATACAAGAACTTTAATTGGTGCATTCATAATTTATCGCAATCAATCAGCACAAAAAGTGCTAAAATAAGACTAGCCCTAAAATGTGTTTGTTTAAAGTGTTCGAGTGTTCTTATGTCAGCCTCACTACTGATCGAGTAGTATCCAGCTCACGATCTTGCCACAATACAGATAGGTACTAGCTTTATATTCAAAACATAAAAGAGGCCTTATCCAGGTTGAATGTTTATAATTTTCACTGTTCTGAATATACTTCACAAGACTTTTACCATCACTGTAGTGGTCAGTGGTACCAGCTCCAACATCGCTGTAGATCTCCGCTGTTCCGTTGATTCGGGGCAGGTCCCCACCCTCAGACAGGTTGTCGTGGATACTGGCTGTCCCCAGTCCTGTATCTGTCCCGTCCTTGCTTGACATACTCTTGTGTGACCCACCTGAAACATGAGACTTGAATTAAGTATTGCTCTGCAAAACTAAGGTCCCTTTCACTTATCTGGTTCAACCATTTCAACCAGCTGAACCTGAAATGGAAATGGCTGCCACAGATCTAAACTGAAGCTTATGCATATACTCCTGGAAAATTTGGCACATGCATATCGAGGGGTTCAGATGTGCCTGACTGAAACTAAAATGTTGACTATTGCTAGATTGCATTATTTCTGCATAAAACAAGATTCCGTGCACACGTAAGGAAGAACACGTTTTTTCTTGATACACATATATTGTTCGTCATTTATCATAAAATCTGAAATAGTGAACGTTTAGCTCTGTCTATAAGTTAGGCACAGTTCTGGTCCACGTGCATTCGTTATCACAGAAAATTTCTGCATCACCTGAACTGACTTTCAATCAGGATATGCAAAAGCAACCAGGGGTTTTTTTTGGCAGTAATTTATCTATGATGGTATATACTGACCAGAGCGAGATCCGTCAGAACCTTTAGACCTAGAACCAGGCTTGTGTAACACTGTGCTTCCTGTTGTTGAACTCTTCAAAACAAAAAATAATAATTGGTAAGTTGAAAAATGTCTTTTCAAATACAAGGCAAACAAAATTGATTAAAAAATTAAAGTTAAAATAAACAAGAGGCCCAATGGGCCTGTATCGCTCACCTGGTATTAATCTCACTCTTGTTATCTTAAAAGTGGACTAAAATACAGCTACAGGCAGAATATCAGTGTTTGATTCATAAGAACCTATTAAAAGATTTAAACATATGACGCCTGTGACCTTCGAATGTCAAACAAGGACATTAGGCTGAACAGAGTTAATAGTCTTCTAACCCAGCATGCTTCTGGCAAAATATCATTATCCTGGACCTTTTGGTTATACAGAACAAATCATTTAAAGATTTAAACATATATTGACCACTGTGACCATGAATTTGGGCAAAGGTCATTCACTTGGTAGTCCTTCATCCCAGCATGTTAATGGCCAAATATCATCACCCTTGGCCTTTTGCTTATTAAGAAGAAGTCATTCAATGTTTTTTTAAACATATTTGACACCTGTGACCTTGAATATATATGTCAAGGTCATTCATTTGAACAAACTTGGTAGTCCTTCATCCCAGCATGTTACTGGCATTATCCTAGGCCTCTGGGTTATTCAGAAGATGTTGTTTAAAGGTTTAAAACATATTTGACCCCTGTGACCTTGAAAAAACGATAAAGATCATTCATTTGAACAAACTTTGTAGCTCTTTATCCCAGCATGCTCGAGCCAAATATCATCACCCTAGGCCTCTTGGTTATTCAGAAGAAGTTGTTTAAAGATTTTTACATATTTGACCCCTGTGACTTTGAAAATGGATGAAGGTCATTTATTTGAACAAACTTGGTAGCCCTTCATCCCAGCATGTTACTGGCGAAATATCATCACCCTAGGCCTCTCGGTTGTTCAGAAGAAGTTGTTTAAAGGTTTTAAACATATTTGCCCTCTGTGACCTTGTATATAAGTCAAGGTCATTTATTTGAACAAAATTGGTAGCCCTTCATTCCAGCATGAAATTGGCCAAATATCGTCATCCTAGGCCTCTTGGTTATTCAGAAGAAGTTGTATAAAGATTTTTACATATTTGACCCCTGTGACCTTGAAAATGGATGAAGGTCATTTATTTGAACAAACTTGGTAGCCGTTCATCCCAGCATTTTACTGGCCAAATATCATAACCCTAGGCCTCTCGGTTATTCAGAAGAAGTTGTATAAAGATTTTAAACATATTTGCCCTCTGTGACGTGACCTTGAATATAAGTAAAGGTCATTTATTTGAAAAAACTTGGTAGCCCTTCATCCCAGCATGCTACTGGCCAAATATCATCAGCCTGGGCCTCTTGGTTATTCAGAAGAAGTTGTTTAAAGTAAAAAGTTGACGACGGCTGACGGACGGACGACGGACGCCACACCATGCCATAAGCTCACTTGGCCCTTCGGGCCAGGTGAGCTGAAAATATATTCACAAACCATGTACTATTGTACATCGACTTTTTTCATATAAATGTCACATACATAAATTATTGATAATAATCATTATAAGTAAACTATAACATAGCTGTCAACTCTCATTATGAGGGAGATTCCCTCATTTTGACCAAAATGTACCAATCTCCCTCGAAACTCCTTCATTTAAGTCCAAACACACACAAACTCAAAATCTACATCCTGTACTGGTCAAATAATCTCCCAGCTACTGCAGGGTATGTGTAATAATTACAACAGGTCTGTCTGAATCAAATGAATGCTTTTTGGAGTTGTTTAATGAAACATAACAAGAGGCCCAAGAGGGCCTGTATCGCTCACCTGAATATTTAAGCAGTCATAGCAAAATATTCTCATTAAATATTATATTGCACTAAAAATATTTCCCTCGTAAACTTTGTCGGTTCCATCTGTTGAAACTCAATTCCTTCTCAAATTGGTTAGCTCTATTCCAACAAGCTACCAGCCAAATCTTATGAATCCATTCCTTTTAGTTCTCAAGAACAAATCCATTAAAATGTTGTTGACCTCTGTGACCTCTAAAGTAGGTTGAGGGCATTTTCATTTGCAAACTTTGGTGAGCTCTATCCCATTTTATGCCTTTTAATTCTTCAAAAGAAGCTGTTTGAACTTTTTGACATATTTGAATGCTGTGACCTTGAAAGTAGGTCAAGGTAATTTTCATTCTCAAACTTTGTTGGGCTCTCTATCCGTAGGAAGCCACCAGCCAAATATAAATATTATATATCTTTCAGTTCTTCAGAAGACGCGTTTGAAGTGTTTGACACATTTGACCCCTGTGACCGTGAAAGAAGGTCAAGGTAATTTTCATTCCCAAACTTTGTTGGGCTCCATCCCAGGAAGCCATCAGCCAAATATGAAGATTCTATACCTTTCAATTCTTCAAAAGAAGTTGTTTGAAGCTTTTGACATATTTGACCCCTGTGACCTTGAAAGTCGGTCAAACTAATTTTCATTCTCAAACTTTGTTGGTCTCTATCCCAGGAAGCCACCAGCCAAATATAAAGATTCTATACGTTTCAGTTCTTCAGAAGAAGTCGTTTGAAGTGTTTGACACATTTGACCCCTGTGACCTTGAAAGTAGGTCAAGGTCATTTTCATTCTCAAACTTTGTTGGGCTCTCTATCCGTAGAAAGCCACCAGCCAAATATAAATATTATATATCTTTCAGTTCTTCAGAAGAAGTCGTTTGAAGTGTTTGACACATTTGACCCCTGTGACCGTGAAAGAAGGTCAAGGTAATTTTCATTCTCAAACTTTGTTGGGCTCCATCCCAGGAAGCCATCAGCCAAATATGAAGATTCTATACCTTTTAATTCTTCAAAAGAAGTCGTTTGAAGTTTTTGACATATTTGACCCCTGTGACCTTGAAAACAGGTCAAGGCCATTTTCCTTCTCAAACTTTGTAGGGCTCCTACCAACAAAGATTTCAGCCAAATATCATGACTCTAGGCCTGTCGTTCTTCAGAAGAAGTTGTTTAAAGGAAAAGTTGACGGACGGACGGACGACGGACGACGAACGACGGACGCCGCACCACGGCATAAGCTCAAATGGCACTTCGTGCCAGGTGAGCTAAAAAGGGAAAGATAAATTGAGTAAAGCAGTTTCAGTCGTGTTTCACGCACTTTATCCCTCATTGGAAATATGGAATGAGGAAAATCTCCCTCATACGAGGTTTCAGAGGTTGACACGGATGCTATAAGGAAAGAAATTTTAAACATCTTACCGACTGTGACTGTGATCTATTAAGAAAGGATAACTCTGCATCAATTTTGTCGAGAATCATGTTGCCCGGGTCGAACTTCCTGCCATTGAGAGATTTGGCCATGATGATAGCTTTCTGTTTCTCTCTGTTTAGGTCATCATTTTCACCCTCGGAAATCCCTAGAATAAAGATTTAGGCTTATACTGTAAAACTTCAACTTTAGAGACTACTGTTAAGAGAGATCAATCTTCGTGAGTGTTATCCCCTGATGAGAGATTCTCTTATGACAGATTGTAATTTTGTATTCACGTGATGAGACCACAATGATACCTGTAAATTTTATAAGAACTAAATGGTATATGTGAATTGTGTTAGAATAAGAGTATATGCTATCTTACACATAATACCTATGATTTATGTTAGAGTTAAGGAAACATGCTACCTTACACATTATACCTATTATGTTAGAGTTAAGGAAACATGCTACCTTACACATAATACCTATTATGTTAGAGTTAAGGAAACATGCTACCTTACACATTATACCTATTATGTTAGAGTTAAGGAAACATGCTACCTTACACATTATAACTTTGCCCTGTGTTAATTTTGCCCTTGACATAAAATTGCTTGGTTACTTATATTCGCTGTAATGATAAATTCTCCCTTGTTACGAAGGGCAATAAAGGCGAAAGTTCAACTGTTTTGAACATTTTCCAGTATACAGTGTATAGTGTAATCCAGCTGCATTATCCACAGAAACAAATCTGATTGTTGGATATGGCACAAGAGGTAGGGTCACCAGCAATAGTTCTTTTAAGTTACCTGTTGCTGAGCCGGACTTGACACCATCCTCGTCACTCCAGTCAGCATCGTTACCATTGGGGATAAGACGACCCTTCACCATCCCATTCTGCAACAATATATACACAGGTAAAACATTGATCATAAACAAGAGGCCCATGGGCCTTAACGGTCACCTGAGTCTACAGTATTTATTTTTGTTGTTGAAATATGTACCAATTTGAGTAAAAAATAGTGTAATGTTAACTTAACTTTGTCAGGACCATGAGCTGATCATTCCTATACCAATTTTAAGTGAGATCGGCCTATTAGAACTTAGTAGCAAAATAGCGGCCATGGCAGCCAAATTGTATTTCTGATTGACCCGAAAAATAACAACACTTTGTCAGGACCATGTTCGATCATTCCTACAAAGTTTCAGTTCAATCGGCCAAGTAGAACTTAACTTTAAGTTTAAAATAGTTTTTCAAAATGGCAGCGGTGGTGGCCATATTGGATTTCTGATCGACCCGAAAAATAACAACACTTTGTCAGGACCATGTTCGATCATTCCTACAAAGTTTCAGTTCAATCAACCTAGCAGAACTTGACTTTAAGTTTGAAATAGGTTTTCAAAATGGCGGCCGTGGTGGCCATATTGGATTTCTGATTGACCTGAAAAATAACAACACTTTGTCAGGACCATGAGCTGATCATTCCTACAAACTTTCAGTTCAATTGGCCTAGCAGAACTTGACTTTAAGTTTAAAATAGGTTTTCAAAATGGCGGCCGTGGCGGCCATATTGGATTTCTGATCGACCCGAAAATTAACAACACTTTGTCATGACCATGAGCTGATCATTCCTACAAACTTTCAGTTCAATTGGCCTAGCAGAACTTGACTTTAAGTTTGAAATAGTTTATCAAAATGGCGGCCGTGGCGGCCATATTGGATTTCTGATCGACCCGAAAAATAACAACACTTTGTCAGGAACATGTTCGATCATTCCTACAAAGTTTCAGTTCAATCGGCCAAGTAGAACTTAACTTTAAGTTTAAAATAGTTTTTCAAAATGGCAGCGGTTGTGGCCATATTGGATTTCTGATCGACCCGAAAAATAACAACACTTTGTCAGGACCCTGAGGCGATCATTCCTACCAACTTTTAGTTCAATCGGCCCAGCAGAACTTGTCTTTAAGGTTGAAATGTAAAATGTTAACGGACGACGGACGACGGACAACGGACGACGGACGACGGACGACGGACGCCGGACGACGGACGACGGACGACGACGGACGAAAACGGATAGCAATAGGTCACTTGAGCTAAAGCTCAGGTGACCTAAAAATGCAGGTTACATACAGGTAAAATACAGGTAATATAGATAACATACAGGTAATCTTAATAACATACAGGTAACAAACAGGTAGCATACAGGTAACATACAGGTAACAAACAGGTAGCATACAGATAACATACAGGTAACAAATAGATAACATACAAATAACACACAGGTAATATACGTATGTAAATACAGGTAACTATCATGTAACACACTGGCAAAATAGGTAATATACAGGTACCATACAGGTAACACACGTATTCACAAATAACAAACAGGTTACATACAGGTACCATACAGGTAACACAGGTATTCACAAATAGCAAACAGGTTACATACAAGTTATATACAGGTACCATACAGGTAACACAGGCATTCACAAATAACAAACAGGTTACATACAATTTACATACATGTATCATACAGGTAACACAGGTATTCACAAATAACAAGCAGGTTACATACAAGTTACAAACAGGTATCATACAGGTGACACAGGTATTCACAAATAACAAACAGGTTACATTCAAGTTATATACAGGTACCATACAGGTAACACAGGCATTCACAAATAACAAACAGGTTACATACAATTTACATACAGGTATCATACAGGTAACACAGGTATTAACAAATAACAAACAGGTTACATACAAGTTATATACAGGTACCATACAGGTAACACAGGTATTCAAAAATAACAAACAGGTTACATACAGGTACCATACAGGCAACACAGGTATTCACAAATAACAAACAGGGTACATACAATTTACATACAGGTATCATACAGGGAACACAGGTATTCACAAATAACAAACAGGATACATACAAGTTACAAACAGGTATCATACAGGTGACACAGGTATTCACAAATAACAAACAGGTTACATTCAAGTTATATACAGGTACCATACAGGTAACACAGGTATTCACAAACAACAAACAGGTTACATACAGGTACCATACATGTAACACAGGTATTCACAAATAACAAACAGGTTACATACAATTTACATACAGGTATCATACAGGTAACACAGGTATTCACAAATAACAAACAGGTTACATACAGGTACCATACAGACAATATGGAGGCATCCAAAGGTGATTAAGAAGTCTGTATAACTTCTGTTTATGATGAAAAAAATAGCAAAAAAACACACACTTTTAGCAAAGAACATACATGTTATGGGACAAACATTATAGTATCCACTTATATCCCAGAACTCTAACAGAGGAACCAAGACTGGATATGTTGTATCCAGTAAAATCTGAAACAACATTTAACTGTCAATGATGAACATGATGACACAGATTTTCCAAAGATGATGTTCAAGAGAGTCCCACTGTTATTTTTGTAGACAAATATCAAAACATAAACAACATACTTCCTGCTCTGTCCTAAAGACACTGCATGGTGACAATAACAGAACCCCCACAACAACTGTAACATGTCTGTAATGTGTGTTTATTAATATTCCAGATTTTCTAGTCTGAACAGGTTTAAACTACATGACACATTTGTGCTAAATTACATTAAGCTTCACAATTCCTGACATTTAATTTTCATTTTTTTTTATCATTGCTGTACGCCTTTAACTATTCAACATTTTTCATGTTAAATGATAGATCCTGTTAAATCTCAAAAGAAGTTTGTTTCGTTTCTGATTCTATTAATCAAGAAATTATGATGAATACAATTTTTTGCTTTACGTTTTGTAAGATAACCATACTTGATATATTAGGTTCCCTTGTAATGTGAGATGTACACACATACTAATTAAACCAGAGACTTTTTTATACCCCGACAGAAGATCCTTGGAAATAAATCAAGTGTCGATAATTATCCTTGAGACCTCAACAGCATTCTACTGAATTCAACATCAAAGAATGATTTAAAATACATTCCCTGTATTTTTCTACTCTTTAATTTCTCGAGAAGAAGCTAACATACACAAAAATCAATCTTTTAAAAGGAATACTGGTTGATCAAGTCTTATTAGCTTCAATAAAATACAGTTTTAGGGTCAATTTTCATAATATTTGAAACTAAAAACAAAATTTGAAAAGTTCTGGGATTAAAAAAGATCATCACGTGACCTGACAAAAACTCATAAACAGTCATATTTTCGCAAACACTAATAAAAAAAATGTCAGTATAAAATTTGAAATGCTGCATGCTGATATAGGGTTAGTAAAAAGAGGTCTTGTTATCGCTGATGTGTCAGCGATTAACGAGAATAACTCACTGATAACACACTTTCCTAAAGTGAGAAAACCATTTTTGCAGAGGCAATTTAGGAATTTGTATTCAATATTATGTCAAAACTTTTTTCTAGGCTTTTTAGTATCTATAACATATTGACAAGGTAACAATCATGTTCAGATCTCCTAATAAATCAATGTTTACAGTCTCAATATTAAATATTAGAGTTTAGAAAGAGTTTATTAACAGAAATCTTGGTCTTAAGACTGAGTCTGTGAATTCTGGGAGGGTTGATAAGAATGTCTGTTTCATGGGGATGACGGGAGTCAATAATGACTGCCCCAAGACCTAGATTTTAAAACCATTGTCAGCTTACTCAATTATGAAAGAATATGGATTCTTATTTCAAAATGGCTTTGGCCAATACTTTTTAAAACTGCATCTATTTTTCATCTACAGAAGGTACTAATTAAAAAATAATAAGTTAAAATATTTGATATTACTTTTAAAAATTATCATTAATATATATAAATTATAATTATAATGTTGTTAAGCTGACTAGGCTTTGATGTCACCCGTATATGTAGACGTAAGTTCAATAGTACCGGGGATAGATACCTCACCTGGCGAACATTCCGACAGATCATTCATTCTTATCTGACGAGATTTTACACTTTAAATGCGTTAATCACCGACACACTACGCTATCTCACCGCGGGGATACATATCTGTATACGTGTCTCAGTAAGGTCCTTGGTGTATACGGAAGAGACATGGGTTCATTAAAGAAAATTTGGTACATTCAATTGCAAAATGCACTTATAAAAATTGAGACTCAACATTTCAATAAATTCTTAACTCTCTTTTCAAAAAACACCAGTTACTTCTGAATGCAGTTTCAAATTTAAAAAGACAATTTTGAATTTTAGATTTTTTGCAAAATTTACCATCAATATTTTCACCATAGGTTTGTCAATTCAAACTTTAACATCTACAACATTTAGGTCTGGGAATGTGAGCTCTAACACCTGGCCAGGATTACCACCTCCTGACACACAGAAGCCTTTCTAAACCGAACATCACTGGGACCCAAATTTCTGTTTGAAAAAGACATTTTATCATCATTGCACAAATGTAGTTATTTATATTTTCTTTTTAGTCTGGTCTGGTTTAGACAGATCTACGAATAAAACAGAGGTAAAATGAAGTCTGAGAACTATCTTGGAACTCTTATAGTGGTAATGTAATCTTTTGATTATACTATGATTACCACAGAATGTTCTCTGATGGTTACCAGTAACTGAACAACTATTACACAGATCATACTTAGAAATAAAAAGTATACCCAGGTAGTTGGGCCTAGTTAAAAATCTGATTTATAATTAGACATTATTCAAGATTAAACAGGAATAGAAAGGTATAATATGGAAGGTCACAGTACCCTAACAGTTTAAAGTTAAAACTGAAAAGTAAGCACTTATTTGACCTTTGACTTTGAGGTCAATGTCACAGTAACCTAAAAGCAGTGCATTTTACACAATCTGTGAGCGATGCAGGCATACTCAAAAATGTCATCA